CCGCCGTTCGCCGGGTGGCGGCGGCGGAAACCTCTCGCGCACTCGGCTCAGCGCCGCGTCGTCGTCGAGAACTTTTGTAATATTATATACTATAATAGTAACAAACGTTATTTTATAGGGGTAGGGACGAGACGACCGATGCACCGCGCTATAATACCAATATAATTTAATATATTATATTATTGTAGATGACTTTATCAAATTTCAGTTTTGCAGTATACTTATGGTGCAGGTTGCGATTGTTTTTGATTTTTTTTCGTTTTCCTAATGTCATTTGTCACCCGTTTAGGTTTTTTGACTTTTGAAAAAAATTAAATTTAAAAGATTCGAGCCCTGTGGTGGCGACGAGAGTTATTAATTTTAATTACCCATATATTATTAAACAACAATATAGGATTCGAGACGGTTTTTTTTCACTATCGTCGCACACTGCCACACCCCGACACTTCCCCTCACTAGGCTACGACCTATGCCTGTGGGTAGCTCTGGTTGTAACTTGTAAGACGATATGCACACCCCAAACGCTCTGCAGTGTATCGAGTAAAATATAGTTTTTCGAAATCTTCCGAATCGAATAATGGTAGGACGATAGGTGTTCCGTAATAACTACTTCACGCGTTAAAAATAGCAAAAATGTTATATTCAGGACTTGAAATCGATTTTAAATATCGATAAAAAAAAAAAAAAAAAACATTGAAATTCAATAGAAATATCATCTAACTGTTGTAATATTGAACTAGAAAAATATTTAAATCGATATAAATTATATTAAAACAATAATTTTAGATATAATAGATATATACAAGTTTATCCGTTTAACTTATAAGATACTCCCTACTTTAGTAAATCCTAATGTTTTAGAATAAGTATATTACTTTTACATAATTTTAAGTCAATAAAAAAACTACATTTTTACTTTATTGTATCATTGTCATTATTTAAGTTGTTAACTCTACTGTGGTGATTAAGTGACAACATGACATTTATTTTTTATGTTATAATCAGAAGCAGAATATTATTTGGAGTATCCAAGTTGTAAAGGTATTTTGGAATATAAAAATCAAATTTCAGATTTATAGGTAATAACTTAAAAAAAATATTCAATAGCCATTAATAGTTTTTTAAATAATAAGTTTACGTCAAATGGATCACCTGGTAAGAGTTATTTTATAAAGTTATATAATAGTACCTATTATTAGTATTATAATAAATAAATGACGAGAATCGCTCAGTCTGTACCCTGCGCCTCCTATATTTTCGAGAATATTCAAGCAATCGCCAAGGGTGTTCTGCAGCATTTTTCAATATAATTTTTTTTTACAACAATAATAACTTATATATAACTTATAATGTCGCTTAAGTAGGTACGCGAAACGTCATACTGACATACTGTCCGGTTTCAACCATAGCGGAAGAAGTCATCCGCGGCTGTCCGGTTGCTCGTTGAAAACACATCGTTTTTTAGATGAGACCGACTCCACAATATCCTAAAATAACCAATTATCCGGCCGTTCGACTTAAAAATAAACAGTGACGTGTTGCGACTTGCGGTTGCTTGTGCCCGAACAACACGACTTTATCAAAACTTGTATTTGTTACAACTTACAAGTTGCAGATTACACCGTCTAATCCACGCAGCAGGAAGAGTCATATTATTATACACGGGGGTAATTATTGCCTTGTATGTTGTTATTTTAAATACCCGATTACGTAGGTATATAATTACATTTTGTTTTTCATTCGAATACATTTAAAAAATTTAAATATGTATAATGTGTACAAATTAATTAAAAGCGTCCATAATGATAATCTTAATGCCATTTGAAAAACAAGATTTGTCTTTGCACTTAGAGAAACCAATGTAATGTTGACTAGAATATAAAAAGTAACGGTTAGACAAAACTTTGTTTATAAAGACTTGGTCAAGCCATCGAACATTAAAAAATAATCGAAGTTATGGCCGGACGCGGTACGACGGGGTGACTACGCGCGAATAGGAATTTAAGCAATAGATTTTCATTTATTACGCACATTTAAAATCTCGTACTTACTACTTAGTGTTGGTTTTGTGAATTTTCTTTGCATACCTAATTATATAGCAGAGTGCGGATTCAGGAGGGAGTCTAAGGAGTTCCCCCTCCCCTGTTAATATTATGTTTTTATTTATACAGAGTGTCCCGTGAAGATAGGAGTTTGTAATTTGCACCGAATTAAAGATATYATGTAATATATGTACCGCTGCAGTTAGTCGAAAGTAGTGTTTGTTATTAGCACCAAAATGATTATTTATTAGTTCGATTATCGAATATTCGATTTTGAAATATTCGATTATTACTCGATATCCTCGCTGACGCGACGTAAAGATTAGATGGACACGAATGACAATAATAATTTTTCAGGATTTTTCGTCTTATCTGGTGATATATTGACGGTTTACGTCCAATTATCGACCGTAATCGCGTTATGTAACATATATTTATACAATGTATATAGTTTTATTATTTTGATCAAATATTAAGAGGACGTTACACCCGCATATGTTGTCTTCGTCTTACAAACGCGTCACATATAACAAATGTTATGCTCATGCAGCCATAGGCGGCATCTAGGGGGGGCATGAGGGTGCAGTTGCACCCACGAAAATTTTTCTGGGGGGCAAAAGTATCATTTTGCACCGACACACAGACAATCACAACAGTAAAAATATTTTAATTACTTTGTAGTTAACAATTACACTGATATAATGTAATTATGATCATAAAAAAGCTGGAAAGTGGATGTCGCTCTGCTGTTCAGTAGGTTACAAGTGG